AAAAAAAAAAAAAAAAAAGAGTGGGCCGATGATGCCCTTCCACAACATTCTCTCTGATTCACCACTGTCACACCTGGCCCAGTTTATGCATCTCTGTTTCCTGCCTGATTCTGTAAGCATCTGAGGTATGGATTGTTGGGCTGTAGCAGAGAGGTCCTATCTGCTGATGGGGAGAGAGTCGGGTCATGGATGAAAAGGAGGGTTTGGTGTTCCTGGACAAAGGTTTAAACAAAGGTTTAAACCCAGTCCCACTATTTGAGTCAGTGTGAACCTGAGTACGTAAGTTAACTTCCAAGCCTTGATTTTCCATTTAATAAAATGGGGGTAGTGGTGCCTGCATCCCCAAGTCAGGGTGAGGGCCACAGACAGTGACATAGCAAAAGGCCAACTCAGCAAACAGAAGCCACTGAAGAGTGGCCACCCAATCCCCTGGTCCAGCTATGGGCCTTCAATAGTCACTTAACATCTCAGAATCTCAGTTTCTTCATCTGTAAAATGAGGTTAACACCTCTCTGCTAAGATTTTTCTTGGAATAAGACTATTATACAATCAGCATATAATGATGATGATTATTTGTTTTTGAGTTTGTCTCTCCTTAGTACAGAAATAATCCAGATAACCAGGTGACCCCTTAAGAAAGGGCCACAGTCCTGTTCACTGCTGACCCCAGGTGCCAGGCAGGTGGTGCTATGTTAAGTACTCAGTCAAGATAATGACACATACGCATGAATGAATGACCTACATTGAGTAGTAGGAGAATGGGGAGGGGGGCTCTCCCAGGGAGTGGGAAATGAGATCACCCTCTCTACAGGAAATTGTTGAAGTTTACACAGAAAGGGGGCTGACCAAGCTGCGGCAGGCATCTACCATGAAAAGCTTCCATTAGTCACTCATTCAAAAAATATTTGGGGGAGAATAAATGCATTTTTAGTGAGTGGGTAAACACTTGTTGAAATGATGACTGAGTGTATGCCGTCTTCCAGGTCCTGTACTACGTACTGGAAACCAACAGTGAACAAAACACACAATGG